AAATTCCTCTCAATGTGGGTATTTTTGGAATCTTGGTGAAGTGTAAGGACTGGAAACCCATGTCTGATACCATTTTGAATTCCATATGCCAGCTTCCGGTTAGAGAAAAGCTGGGAACTACTGGCAAATTATCCACATTATGGATATTTTTGGAGTCTTGATGACATGTAGGGATCGGACTTCGATGTCTGAGTCCGTTTTGAAATTCAAGATGGCTGCTTACGGCAAGAGAAAAACTTGTAAATTCTCTCAAATACCTCACAATATTTGTAGTTTTAGAGTCGGAGTGACGTGTAAGGACCGAAAATCGATGTCTGCGGCCATTTTAAAATTCAAGATGGCGGCTTCCAGTTAGAGAAAAATGTAAATTCTGTCAAATACCCCTTACCTAAGGGTATTTTTGGAATCGGGGTGACGACCAGAAATCCATGCCTGGCGCTATTTTGATATCCAAAATAACGGCTTCCGTTTAAATAAAACTGGGATATTGTCAAATACACCACCTTATGAGTATTTTAGGAATCTTGGTGACGTGCAGGGACCGGAAACTAATGCCTTTTTTTTTAATTCAAGATGGTGGCTTCCAGTTACAGAAAAACTGAAAAATACTATGAAATACCCCTCAATATGGGTATTTTTGCAATCGTGGTGATGTGTAGAGACCGGAAATGCATGGCTGACGACATTTTGAATTCAATATGGTGGCTTTCCGTTAGCAAAAAACTTGGAAATTCTGTCCAATATGGGTATTTTTGGAATTGGAGTTACGTGTATGGACAGAAAACCCGCCTGTATTTTTCTGTTTTTCTGTAACTGGAAGCCACCATATTGAATTTCAAAATAGCATCAGACATGGATTTCTGGACCCTACATGTCGCTCGATTCCAAAAATATTCATATTGTGGTGTATTTGACAGTGTTTCAAAGTTTTTCGTCTATCGGAAGCCACCATATTGAATTCAAAATGGCCTCAAACATCGATTTCCGATCCCTACACGTCACCCCAATTCTAAAATTACCCATATTGAGGGGTATTGGACAGAATTTCCCAGTTTTTTCTCTAACCGGAAGCCGCCATCTTGAATTTCAAAATGGCCTCAGACATCTATTTTTGGACCCTACACGTCACCAAGATTACAAAAATACTTATACTTTGGGTAATTTGGCAGTAATTCCCAGTTTTTCTCGCACCGCAAGCCGCCATATTGAATTCAAAATGGCGTCAGACATCTATTTCCGGACCTTACACGTCACCCCAATTCCAAAAATACCCATATTGAGGAAGCCGAAAAAATTATTGGCTGGAAACAATAAAAAAGTTGATTGAAACAAATTTAGAAGTAATAAATTACCGAAAACCGCCACCATCGCTTATATAACTTCAATGTTTTCCATCCAGTCGACTGCAGCGGAGGTTACGACTCTTGTCACTTAAAATCGTTACTCCAGTACGACTTTTGTCACCGAAATACGACTGTGAGAATTGACCAATGCACGGAATGAACTCAAGAAAAAATTTGACTTTTGAGCGGTGCCGTGTTTACTAAAAATGAACACATGATATAATGCTCGCGAAACTTTAGAAAAGGTCCTTTCAACTTTTATAAACAACTTGTAAGGCCCTTTTCTCACGAGCCGAAGTACACCCACGCAAACCAAACCACGCGCGAGTATTATTCATGTGTTCATTTTTAGTAAACACGGCACCGCTCAAATGTCAAATTTGTTCATGCAGTTCATTCCGTGTATTGGTCAATAAGGTGAGAGTTCATCGGGTTCATCCCAAGTGACTTTTCTCACCTCACTCGCCAGCTGGAATCGGGTGACACGAGCGACTCGAGTCACCTCACTTCATTCGCCACGCAGAATAACCCTGAATATAACTGAAAGCAGGGTTGCTTCCACTCACTTGCTATAAAAAAATATATTTCTGGATTATGCAATAATGCTATGTTGTACTTGTAAGTAGCAAGAAGAGGGTGTAGTATGTGTTTGACTCATAAAACCTGGTCATTTCGCTTTGAGAGCGTCACAATCAGCGATCTTATGATTCGTGAGCGTTCACTCAGAGTGAGCGCTCACGAGTCGTAAAATCGCAGATTGTGACGCACTGAAAGCAATATTGACAGATTTTATGATATTATTAGATGACCTCTTCTTGTAACTTACAAGTACTAATTAGCATTATACTATATCATGATTTCAAAATTTCGAAAAACATTTTTTATAGCAAGTGAGTGGAAGTAACCCTGACTGAAAGTCCTACGACGGAAAAACAATTCACATCAATTCAGCCTTGATGAAGAACTCCTCCATCCAGTGAAGACAATTCGACTCAGCTGAGTGCTCTGATCAAACGCCAGAAGAAACGACATTTGGCCGACGGAACGCTTCCGATTCCGTGTGGACCACGCAGGTCGATCTATTCGGATGGGAAGTACCGCGGGGAAGCGATTCACTACGATGGTAACGTGATCGACATACAGAACACCATTTCGAATCGGACGCTTCCATGCGGCATCTGGGTAAGCCGGGATCCGGATGCATCGTACAACAACCTGGAGGATGAGGATAAGTATCAGAATCTGACGTTGACGTTCAACAGCGGTAACTACCGAAACCGCATCAGCTGTTTCTTGCGACGACAAGGGTACCTGGGTTTCCTACCTGAATACCTGCAACAACATCAATTGTAGAAGCAATTGAGTGCGACGATATAGTTTTCAAATTAACTGAATGATAATTAGGTGTAAAAGCACTATCTAGTTTCCAAAGGTATATGTATTTTTCCTTGACCTGATAAAAGGTTCTACCAGCAGAGTATCGTAGACTAAATAAATTACAATTGCTAGTACGGTGTCGGTGAACAATTCGCTTGGGCAGGTCATCAAGAATACTGTTGCTGGTGCAGCACTCAGATCGGCCCAGTTCCGACTCCCGTATGTCGCAGTACGATGAAGATTTGATCCGCGGCGAAAACAGCAAAAATTCCACGCTGATGAGGCACATCAGGAAGGGCCCATAGGTTGCTGGTGGTATCGAAGTTCATACTAGTGCCGCAGTTTATGTTGAAGACCAAGGAGAAGCGGGAAATTCCGACGAAAGTGTACTTGTTGACGCACGTGGAGCATCCGAACATTGTCAACATGTTCGATTGGTTCGAGAACGACAAGTTCTTCCAGGGTGTGATGGAAAACCACGACTCCGGGATGGATCTGTTCGAGTTTATCGATCGAAGACCCGTGATGACGGAGAAGCTGGGTTGTTGGATCTTTCGATAGATAGCTAATGCGGTTACTTTCCTGCACTCGTTGAACATTCTGCACCGAGATTCCAAAGACGAGAACGTTATCATCGATCACAACTTCCATATCAAGCTGATCGACTTCGGATCGGAGACGTTCGTATAGGAAAGGCAACTTGTTTCTACCGTCTACGGCACGACCGAGTACTCTGGCCGGAACTGGAAATGTGGGCTCTCGGTGTGACACTGTAGTGTTGATGTTCTTCTAGAACCCATTCCGAACTGATAATAAGGCACGAAATCAGCGAAGAATTGAAGTACGTGTTGCTTTCGATGTTGGACATGAATTCAAAAACTGGAGACGGAAGACGCAGGAAATCAATTCGTCACAGTTCAACATTGCCAAAATCGTCCCCTGCGAACCGTACGAAACCAATCATTAGAAGTACTACGTAGATGCGAATATCTGCTCCAGTCAGACGGGACTGTCCACGTCGCCGCACAGCCTTTCGATGGTGGATAATGTCGATGGTGAAGATGACGATGAGCATGCCCACATGGATGCTGATCGTGCTACTGCTGACGACCGGGGGATGGAACGACCGGAAGAGATACTTCAGCACGATCCGCCCAGAAGCAGCAGTTGCATTGGTGGCGCCGCCAGTCCATACAATTCGCCGAGCAAAAGTAACCGTCATAGGCGGCAGCTGCAACGAACCACCCGGTCGTCATCGTCGTGATGTCGGGATCTTCCGTTGCTCCGGTTGCAGACCATGGCTGTAAAGGGCCACCCACATTATATCCGTTTGACGTGAATTTGACAGTTCAAGAGCCACATGTGAAAAGGACGTACAATATTTTTTGTAAACAAACCTTTGTAGGCCCTTTTCTCGCGAACCGAGGGTCACCCACGCAAACCAAAAACATCATCGAGAAGGGGAAAGTTTCCTCTACCCGGTGATGTTGATGGTTTGCGTTGGTGTCATATTGGTGACGAGAAAAGGGCATAAGAAGGTTTGTTTACAGAAAGCTTGTATGACCTTTTCACATGTTGTTCTTGAGTTAGACAATAGATTTAGCAATCAGTTTGCTGCAACGCGTCAGATCCGTATCTAATGTGGGTGGCCCTTAAAAGGTGAGTTGGAGGCTCCGGCGAAATTATCAGCCACTAAAAATTGTTTGTGTCAACAACCAAATTTTGACACATCCACACTGCACAGAGGCAGAAATAGTGCAGTGATACAAGTTACTTTAGAGATCATAAACATTATGTACCATGGAAAACAGTGCCAATGAGCATGCCATGGTGTGCCCTACTGTTTTTTGGCACACTGTGCTGAGTGACCAACCACTTGATATTTTGTAATTAACAAAAAAAAAAGTTTTTTTAATAAAGACACTCGAACGAAACAAAATCGGGATTTTGTTTTCTGAAAAAGCTAAATAAATTGTTCTTTTTTTGGATGCGAATCAAAGTTTTTCAATTCTTGGCTTCTGATTGATCAAATAATAAATATTAAACGGTATAGTTTATACCATAATCATTTGTTATTAAAACATGGATTTTTTTTCAGGCTTATTTTTTACTTATTTTTTACTTACAACATTCTTCTAAAACGAAAACAATGATTGATCTTAAGAAACGTTGGAAATGACATAGAATCGACCGACTAGTCTAAATAATTAATGTATTTCATGCATCTGTGCCAGAAATGTTAACAGCCATTAATAATCATTCATAATGCATATCCTCACTTCGTCCTGATAAAACTCATCAGCACTGATTAAACCGGCACAAGTCCACCCGTAGAGCCTCAGCAGCATGGAACTATCAGTCCACCAAAGCTTATCCCCGGAACTACGGATCATGACCTTTCAACTCTGGGTTATGCAATGGACAGGACTCGTCGGTCCACAGGGGCACTTCTATCGATTCGCCCTTGCCTTCGGATGGGGATCGTTCGTCAAACTAGTTCCAAAAATCGTCCTCGGAATGGGAAGCAGCCAGTTCGACGTCATCGTGAAAGGATTATCCGAACTACTGTATCAGGGTAATGTCTACATTGCAGCAGCATTGCTCGTGTTACACTTGTCGTCCTTCAATCGAATGATTAACCTCACGAGTGAAATCATTAAGAAAGGTAAACGACCAAATACGTCCAGTAAATTTTAGTGAAATTATTTTCAATACCCATCGTAGTCACCCGCGACGATCAATCCAAAGCATGCTACGATCTGGTTTGTGTTCAAAATTCCAAACTCAACAAATTTGCCAAGTTCTATTTGATCTACTGCTTCTGCGGGTCGTTACTTTATTGCGTTCCGGCAATGGCGACTAGCTATCTGCGTTACTTCGGCTCCAGAAACAATATCACCGATGATGGCAGCGAATCAGAACCGGTCCAGTTTGAACTATCCATGGAACAAGAGTAAGCAGCTCCAAGTCACAGAACGATTTGGTTAACGTTGATCGCTCTCTTCTTCTTGTTCGAAATAGATTCTATGGCTTGCAAATTCGTACCGATTTCACACATTACAACATTTTTATGGCGTGCTCGCTGTTGGCCTACTTCGTCGGTGGGTATATGTCGACGATTAAGGTAACTGCGGTCGTCAGTGCGATGAGATGCAGCTCACTGGCCTATCGATTGGTAGCGATGCAGGTGCGAAAGTTGAACGATTCCAGAGGTGTGCAGCAGAAGAAACGGAAGATCACAACCGCCGACATCGAGGAAATCATTGATCTACACTGCACAGCATTCGAGTAAGTTCGATGGTTGTTTTTGATTTTGAAATCGTTCGTAAAGTAAGTGATGATTGTTTAGGATCACAGACCTCCTGGAGAATATGCTCAGCATTCAACTGGCGATGCAGTTTCTCTCTTGTCTGTTGTTCTGGTGCTTGGTCATGTTCTACGTTTCAATGGTAAGTTGGAAGGTCACTTCGTGGCGTGGAGTTTCGAGCGTTGATTCCTAACAGTAGGCTGCGTTTCAGCACGTCAACTTCAATCTGGTCAATGTGACGATTCCGTTCTGTCTGTCTTTGATCGAAACCTACGCTTATTCGTATCTGGGTTCGGAGCTGACTGCAGAAGCGGAGGAAGTCGGCCAAGCCATCTACGAGCTACCGTGGTACGAAGATTCCGCAGAACTACAGCGATACTATTGCTTGATCATACAGCGTTCGCAGCGGGCGACGGGCACGACGGCTGTCAAGTTTTTCCTCGTCGGAATCGACAAGTTTGGAGGGGTAAGTTAAGCGGTTTTTGGCAAAAGGTGAATGCTGATTTTTGGTTTACATTTTACAGCTGCTTCAAATGTCGTACTCATACTATTTAGTTCTGAAGGATGTTTTCAATACGCTGTAAATTGGATAACAACTGCATCATATTATATACTGTTACACTGTTACTAGGAGCGTTCGAGTACTGCTCGACTAATCGATTGAGTTTTGATTTCCGTTTTTTCCAGTTTCGCTAATACAGGCAGGATTGCCAATGGTTTTTGAAAAATAACTGGCAACATGCTCTCAAAAAACTGGAAAAAAACTGAACCCTCAAAAAAGTTTCTGAACTTTTCAAGTTTGTTTTTTAATTTGTTTATTTGGTAAGACATCACAGTTGAAAAAACTTTACGGAGCCGTTAGTCCTTAAATCTATACACCACCAGGTAAGAAACTTATGCAATTAACCGAAATATTATCGTTGGCAGATTTAACTTCAGTCCCAAATAAATTTCAAAACTCAGATTGATATTTCCATTGATTTTTTTTTTAAATTCTGGTTTGTCTTGATTAAGGAGATTTTCAGCCAACGGGAATTTGATTAGAATTTCTAAGAAACTCATTCCAATGGAGTTTGGGGAAGAACGTGAGGAAAACATCAAGTGAAATCTGCTTCCAATGCAGTTCTGAGGAACTCCAGATTACATGTGAAACCTAAGGAGAATACCAAGGTTGTTCTGAGAAGAATTCCATCGAAATTATGAATAGGCTTCAAAGGAAGCTTTAACGAGAATTCACCGAGGAATTTGGAGAAAATTTAGAAAAGAATTTTGAGGATTAATTCACGATAATTTCGATGAGCACTTAAAGGCAATTAAAAGAAGAAATGCTTTGGAATACTGAGGATTATTTAAAGAAGTTTCTGGGAAAAAACAATCTTGACCATAAATCTTTGGAAATTTCCGGAGAATACTTAGAAAGAAGATGGTAAAAGAAGGATTCTGAGGAGTATTAAAAAAAAATCTTTTGAATATTTTAAGGTAATTCCAATGAAAACTCCAAGGGGATTGAATTCTGAATTCCGAGGATAGTTCCAACAAAATTTTGAGGAAAATTTCAACAATCGACAAAGGAATTCAATTCTTATACTAGACACTTGCAGAAACTCATAAATCGACTCTATATATTGCCAACACACCTCTGATAGGAACATAGGGTTATCGGCAGAGTTGCGACCTATCACAATCACGATCGCCAAACAGCTGATGGTAGTAACGCTTTGTACATTCCTATCAATGTGCTCGTCGAAGCTCTCTCCATGACCATCCATCAAGTTGACGAAAGAAGTAAAAAGCAACTGGTGAATGTCGTCTTCAGTTGTGATCCGTCGCCGATCTGGTCATTCCCGACAATCACGACACTCATCTGTGCTCGTTTTGAAGCAGTTGCTGCTTTACTTGCTTATTTGAGTGTGTTGGTGAGTGAACCCAACAGCTTCCGTTTCATGTTGCCTGCTTTGTTTGTAACTCACACAGTCGCGCCTGCCGAGACGAACTTGGAATGCGTAGGCATTGTTTTCATTTTCTTCTGTCGTTTCGCTTTTTCTCATGATCGTACTGCAGAAGTCTTCACTGTTTTCGTTGTGCTTTTCATCATCAGCAGCGAGTGTAGCGTTTTGCTTGTGAGCAGCGACCATTACTGGTGATTGTTGTTTGCCATGGCTCTTACTCTCACTGCGTGACAAAACGATCTGTCAGCCATAGTCGGTTGGTGCGAAGACGAGTGTCACGTGAGTGTCATGATATTTTGCATCACTGGTTATCGGGCCTCGAGGGTATTCAAAAGTCGCTCTCTGGCGGTGTCATTATCCATACATTGCCAAACTGCGTGATCGATGTCATCGTAACCGTTACCACACTGACAGATGTGGCTGTCCACAAGGTTTGTTCTATGGAGATGCGCATCCAGCGAGTAGTGATTGGACATAACTCTACTCATCACGCGAAAAAAGTCACGACTTAAGCCCAAGCCTTTAAACCAAGCTCTCGAAGAAACATTAGAAATCATTAAATGTAACCACCCTCTACCTTTGAGTTATGCTCATTGCAATGTGAGCATCTCCTTCTTCCCCTATAAACACTGGCGTAGCTAACAGTCAACTTGGCTTTCAGACAGCCCCTTTGCAGTTTGCCTTGATTGGTACTGCCATGTCGAATGGTGATGATTTTTTTGTTCGAGACGGAAATCATGCAAATCCTGCATTGATAAATAAATAAACTTTCCTAGGCCAAAACAAATTCTCCAGAAAACGTTATGCATTCAGCCGGTTATCTAGTGCTAATTGACATAATGCATAGAACCAGCGTGTATCGAACGAGAAAAACAAACTCCATTCGCCCGACGACGACGCTGCGAGAAATCATCACCATAGTCGAAAATAGAACCAAGTTTAGAGTAAACCAAAAGCGCAGTAAAAATTTGGAATCAGAAACGTGTTTGCCAACACGTCGCCGCGCAACTGTGCCGATGATTTTCTCAAGGCATACTTGGATCAGGGTGACCAGCGAGCCGGAAAAATAGCCGAGAATTGGAAATCACAAACCGATGACAAACCGGAAAAAAAATACTTCGGCCTCTTTTCGGAAAAAAATGGAAGATTCTCGACCTTATAATAAGAGATAATTTCAAGTGAATTCTAAAGAAAGTAATTTAGTATCAAGAGAAGAATTTAGGTAAGATACTTCTTTGCAGAATTTCAATTTTAAAAGAGTTCAAGCTAATTTTGAATATAGTCCTTGAAGGATGCTACAGTGAATTTTTGTATGAATCATCAACAATTCGAAAAAAAAAACCATAGGCTGTGTTCCATTTGGTGAATTTTCAATTAATATTGACACTTCGAAAAAAAAATATAATGTTCAAAAATTGTTGTTGATCGTCCGATTTTCAAGAAGGTGTTTAGTTTGTCAAAATTGATTCCTGGTAATGGGACAATTGACTGAATAGGTTTGCTTGGTGTGATTGATGAATTGAAACTAAAATCGTTACTACATATTATCATGGCATGCTACAGCTTGTAGCTAATTCATAGGTTACTTCTCCATCGTCCCCTCTTAACCGAGAATTCTACCAATCCCTATTGTTTGTCGTCCAGCTTCAAGTTTAGGGACCGGAACCGCCTTTGTTAGAAGATCTGCTGTTTGAAGATGACTGCCAACGTGCTCCAACTTGATAATCTTCTCTTCCAGTTTCTCACGAACAAAGTGATGTCGGATATCGATATGCTTACTGCGTGGTGAATATCCAACTTCTCTTTCAGCATGGTGAATCGCACTCCGGTTGTCGCAAAAGATGGTTATCGTTCCGTCTTGCCCTGATAGTTCCTGTCGTAGTCCTCTCCACCTTGGCTTCTTGTGCTGCCGCTGATACCGCCATGTATTCAGCCTCCGTCGCCACGGTTGATTGCTTCCGACAGTTCCACAAAATCAGTCAACCTGACTGCATGAAGACATACCCGGTGATAGAGCGTCGCGTGTCGTTGCCCCGATCTGCGTCGCTGAATTCAACAAAACCGTTATCTGCTTGCTTGCGGTAGGTAAGGTTCATATTCTTCGTCCCTTTCAGATACCGCAAAATACGTTTTGCTGCTATCCAGTGTCGCTGCAGAAATGACTGACTGCGTTAACGGCGAAGCTGATGCCCGGTCGGGTACATTGCGCTAGGAACTGGAGACCTCCTACCAGCTCCCGGAATGGAACTTTCTGCATCTGCTTCCGTTCTTCTTCAGTTCTAGGGCTCATTTGCTTCGATAGTTTTTGTTTGTGATCTGCCGGAGTTGCTACTGTATCACAGTCACTCATTCCGAATCGTTTCAACATGTACTGCTCCTGGTCCAAACACACAGTTCCGTCTCCTCGCCCGACTCGGATTCCAAGGACTTTGTTGACCAATCCGAGATCCTTCATCAAAAACTTCGTTCACCCACCGCTGGTTGTTGGAAAACATCAGTAGGTCGTCGACGTATACCGCCACAATGAGAAACTTCGACCGCGTGAGTCCAAAGCGCTGGAGTTCACCATCCAGCTTCTGGTTCCATACTCTACTGGCTTGTTTCAGTCCGTTCTTCAGCTTGCAAACCTTCTTCGGACTTCCGTTGATGATAAATCCTTCCGGCTGCTCCATATATATGGAGTGTCTCCTCGTAATCGATGCCCTTGACTTGAGAAAAGCCTTTGATTACCACGGGCTTTGTATCGCTCTGTGGATCCGTCGGGGTTCGTCTTGATCTTGAACACCTATTTGCAGCGGAGTGCTTTCCTTCCCTCTGGTAAATCGGTGAGCTCCCAGGTTTGTTTTTTCAGTAACGCTCGATACTCGTCAACCATTGCGTCCTTCCAACGGTTGCTTTCATCACTCGTAATCGCTTCTTGGAACGTCTATGGCTCGACATTCAAATTGTCCGGGACCTCGGGTAACTGGGGAACCCAAATGAAAATCTTGATACTTGCCTGTAGTTACACGCTCCCTCGCACTGCGCCACACCAACTGTTGTGGGCCCTCTGTTTGTGCAGGTTGTTGATCCGCATCAATCAAAGTATCATCGTTGTCGCCATTCTAGGATTTGTTGCTGTCACTGAGCTCGTCCTCATCCATTATTGATTCGTGATCACCTTCGTCAACGTCCTGTTCCTCCGCATCCTCTTGTTCGTTCCGCACAACTTTTTCGATAGGAGTTGCCTGTGCGACAGGATCAGCTTCTCTCAGCATTATTCGGTCTTTGCTCAAAAATATCACGTCACGGCTAACTACTACGTTCTGTACGCTTTCGAGTTCTCGCTGTAGCCTATGAATATACACCCCTCAGACTTCGCATCGCACTTCCGTCGCTTCTCTTTGGAAACGTGCACCATAACCTCGCTTCCAAACACACGAAGGTGCGATAAATCGGGACGATTTCCAGTGAACCTTTCCTCGGGAGTGACCGGTAGGCCTTTTGTCGGTGATCGGTTGACCACGTAAAAAGCAGTGGCTACTGCTTCCGTCCAGAATCGCTTCTCTTGTTCAGTATCGCATAACATGCTTCTTGCTCGCTCCACTAACATGCGGTTCATCCGCTCTGCTAGCCAGTTCTGCTCCGGATTGTACGGAACCGTGGTTT